GCCCCAGGGGGTTTTTGGGTTTTTCATGTTTTTAAAACTATTCCCTTTTAAGGATTTTTGGGCCGTTAAAGAAGGAAAAATCAAATTTAAATTTCTGTTAGGGGGTGCCTTTTGTGGATTCTCCCCACAATCGGAAAAAACCCTTTCTTTAAATCCCGGGAAAAATTTTGGAAATTTTTAAATAGAGAAAGGTTTTTTCCCATTTTATTTCAAAAAAATTGATTCAACCCTAAATACTTAAAAAACTGGGTGCTATGACCCACAGGCTTCAGCCTTTAATTTTTAAAAGGGTTTTAAAAGGTTTCAAACATCTTCTATTTCTAAATTTTGTGCGAATTTAGGAAAAACTTTTCCATAGGCATTTACCTCTAAATAGTTTTTAAAATAGGGGCGGAATTTAAATCAAAAAAGTGGTAAATTTCCCTTTAAAAAGGTTTGGGTTAAAAATTCAAACCTTTCAGGTTAAATCACCCTTTTTCATTTTTGGTTGTTTGCCAAATGTAATTGTAAAATTTGTTTAACTGGGCCAATTTTAAAATGTAAAGGAACTTTTTTGGTTTCCATTATTCCAGAGCGTTTTCTGCTAAAATTGGGTGAAAAACCCTTTGAATAGGTCGGTTTGGATTTTTGGTCTTTTGGGACAATACCTCACTTCCATTTTACTGTAACTAATGAATCCCCCCCCTTTTCTTTTAAAAATGCCTTAAATTTCCAAATTAGTTGCTAACCAATGAAGATTTTTTTTGGCTGCCCCAGCCCATAGGTAACTAAAATGTCTTTTTAATAGATTTTAAACCCAAAAAGGGTTGAAGAGGGGCTCAAAAAACCGGGCAGCAAAATTTTTTGGTTTAGTGAAATTTGGTTTAATGGTAAACACGATTTTTTTCAAATAGCCCAATTAAGCTTTTTGCCTTTGGGGGAATTATCCAAAACTGACCCATAGTTTAAAAACCTTGCTTTGAAAAAAAACAAAAGGGGAAGTTTTTATCACTTCTATTCGCCCGGGTTCCCTACAAAAATGGGGAAGGTTTTTTTATGTCTGCGAAAAATTTTTTTATTTAAAACCTTTGATATTTTTTGCATTTCTCCCACTGTGTTCGTATGGTTCCCGAAGTGGTGCGCCCATTCGAAATTTTTTTTTTTCATTTTTTGCAAAAGGAGCTCATCTTATGTTTTTGAGCTGAAGAACCCAAAAAGGATCATAAAAATTTGGCCTTTTTTGGGAGAAAAGGGGTGCATTTTTTGTCACCCGATTGACCCCTTTTTATGACCCTCTGGCTCAAAAAATATCTGTCACGGGTTTGGATGAACTTTTCCAGATAAATTTACAAATAAAAAAAAAATAGCACCCCGTTGTAGGAAAAAAACCCTCAAAATTTTATACATGTTAAGAAAAACAACACATTTTCCATCTTTTGTCGATAATGGACTTCTAACGTTTGCTGTATGTATGGCCATGTAAGGCACCGTGCCAATGAAATTCCAGATATATTTCCAAGCAATGAAAACAACGAGAAGTATAGAAAAAAAAAAAAAAAAACCAGATAAAGTCAGACTCCATCTGGACCGGAAGTTCTGAAAACCCTTCATGACGACGTGCTTTTGTTTTACTAAACAATCATATAGTTATACTTTGTCCATCAAAACAGTCGTCAAGAATAAAGATCCATTAATTACAAATTTAATAAAATTTATTATTAAAAAAAATCCAAAGACAAAAAATTCTGTGCTTTTGAAATTTGTTAGAAAAAAAGTCATTTTAAGAGAAAAGAAAAATTTACAATATTGAGCATTATTCGACACTTAGCTCCAACGTTAAAAGTAAAATTCGTTAAATTAAAAATTACATAAATGTAATGGCAATCACAAACCGTTTCAATATTCATTAAAAAATCAATAATTAAAATTCCCCCAAAATAATAAGACTCATTTGTAATATAGACGTGCTTTCAAATTTTTAAAGTCCTATCAATAAATCTGATGTATGAAGAACAAAAGTTTGATTTTTAAAATAACTTTAGATTTAAATCAAAGTTTTTCTCGAGCCCAAAATGCCGGAATTAATTGAACATTAAACGAATATCTATACATGTGCAAGCCAATTTAATTCAGAGCGATATTTTGTTTTAGATTTATTGTTGCTTTTGTTAGTATTTGATTCTACATTTTCGGTCGAGACCAACTGAAATTTGCAAATGATGAGGTGAAAGCTTTTACATTCAATTTCCTCATTGCTTTCATAAAAATCGTCACCCAAACTTGCGCTTGTTGTAAATATTCTATTGTAAAAAATCTATTATAAAAGTACATTTTAAAGAAAATAAGATAAAGTAATATTCACATACAATTCTAGTTTTTAGAAAATATTTGTTTTAATTACTGTTTTTTTTTTGTTTTCCCTCTACATTAAAGTGGGGGGGGGGGTTAGAATTACCCTTTCTGTCCGTCCGGGTCCTCATTTTAGTGCACGAGCACTAAAAGATTAGACCATGAATCATGAAACTTAACGGAAGTTGATTCAAGTCTTGTGTAAGTTGTGAACCTGGGTATTTTCAGTTGATTTTTTTATTTTAAGAGTTAAGCCCCTTGACTATTTTTGTAGTTTTAACTTGCTTTCCGATGTAACTCAAAGGGTATTTTTGTTGACCTAAGATCAATAAAAACCCCTTACAGGAATGTTGCTTCAGCAAATTGAAGTTTTGCACCTTGGTTTTGTGAGGAGTTTTGTCTTTTTGACTTTAGTAAAAATTTTTGGAAATGTTTCAACTTTCTGTTTCATTTCTAGCCTCAAAAGATTTGATTTTGGCTTTAGGGGCCCATAAAATTTTTTCAGAATGTTTTTTCAGATTTTAATTTTTGTTTTTTGTTTTACGGGTTCGCTTGTGTTTTTCTATTGTTTTTAGAGTTTTTGTTTTAAAATTTTTAATTTTTAAAATTTTTTGAAAATTTTCTTTTTGGGTTGTCTTTGCTAATTTTTAAAAAATTTTTTAATTTTCCTTTTTAAAGTCTTTTTTAAAAATTTTATGGGAATTTTTTGTCACAGGGTGTAGGTGTGCAAAAATTTTTTGGGTTTTTTTTTGTTTTGATTTAATAAAAACCTTTTAAATTATTTTGGTTTTTTGTTATTGAGTGCTTATTTTAGAAAACAAAATTTTACAGGAAAAAAATTTTTTTGTTTCAACTTTCATGTAAAAGCTTTTTACCTTTTGGAATTTTTTTTAGATTTTTTTGTTTTTGCTTTTTGCCTTGTCTTGGGGAAATAAATTTTTTGCAACTTTTTCTTTGCAAAAGTTCAAATTTTTTTTTTTTAATTTTTTAGGCCTTTGAAATTTTTTGCAAGAATTTTGGGTTTTCAGCATTTTTATTTTTTTATGCCCCCTTTTGGGGTTTTCGTTTGTCGAATTTAATTATTTTGAAGTTTTTTTTGGCCAAATTTTTTTTAGTAAAAATTTTTTTTTTAGTTTTCAACTTGAGGAATTTTAATTTTCAAACAATAATTTGACCTAGAGTCAAAAGAATTTTAAAAAATTTTAAATTTTAAGTTTTTTTTTTAAAACCAAAAGGGTAGATCAAAAATTTTAAATTTTAAACATTGAGAAATTTTTGGGCTAGATTATCGCTTTTTTTTTTCAAAAGATTTTAAAATTTTTGGCTTTTTAAAGGGTTAAAGTTTTTTCATTTTTTGAATTTTTCTTTTTTTTTTATAAAAAAAAAGTTGAAACATAAAAATGTTTTTTTTAATGGGAAGTTTTTCCCCTTTTTTTTCCCTTTGCCCTTTACTTTTCCCCAATTTTTTTTGGGCTTAAATTTTTTTTCCCCTGATTAGTAAAGGGCCCCTTTTTTGATTTTGGAGGTTAAAAGGGTTCAAGGTCAAAAAACCCTTTACAAGAAAGGATTATGTGCGCCCAAAAAATTAAAGACCCCTTTTTAAACCCACAGCCCTTCAAAATTTTGGGTTCGGGTTAGGCTTTTTTAGTAAATGCCCTATTGATTTGGGGGTTCCACCATTAAAAGGTAAAGGGTAAAAGGGGGCCTTTTTTTTGGAAAAAAAAAAAAAAAAAAAAAATATTGCCCCGCCCAATCTAAAATTCTTGACAAAACTTTTTTTAAATTTTTTTTGCAGGGCGGTAATTTCAAAAATAAGTTTTTTGACCCATATTTTTTTTTGATTTCACGGTAAAGGGTTTCTAGGCCCGGGGGCCTTGAATAAGAAACTTTTCCCCCCAAATAATTTAAAGAATCCTTCGCCCCAAATTAGTCTTCAATTTGGCAGGGAAAGGTTAGTCAATAAGTAGATGACCCCAAAATTTTTTTAGGTCATCAGTCAAAGGAAAGGGTAAAGGGGCCCTTGGGAATTTAAATAAAGCGGGGTCCGCCCAATTACATAAAAATTTTACCCACAGTCTTCATTTTGGCAACTTTAAGGGACGACTTTGGGTAACGCTAATACCTAAATGAAACCCTTAAAAGGGGTATAGAAATTTTTAGAGGGGGTTTTTTGTAAATTCCCCCTAAAAATTTTTAAAAATTCAAAGATTTTTTTTTTAAAGTGTTATTTTGTTTTTTATTTTTCGTTTTAGAAAAAATTATGTTGTCTTAAAATTTTGAGTGTTTCCCTTTTTCTTTTCTAAATTTTTAAATTTTCATCAACCATTTCCTCTGGCTCCACTTATGCATTTGTTTCCTGTCGAAATGAGGGAAAAAAAACGGCATTCATAAAAATGTATGCTACTTTTCTGTTGGCGTTGCATCGTGTCTAAGTATGTTATGAGCTATTTAAATATAAAAATACTATCAAAAATGTTTACTTAAACTGAAACAGTTTTGTCAATTTAAAGACGACATTACCCTTTTAACGCATTCAAAGTTTTTGATAAATTTATGTCGTAACATACTATAAACTTCTTTGAACGTCTTGTTCTGTCCTTTCTTTAGGTCTTCCATTTCTTTATATTCGGCGCTGTTTTTTATCGCATTCCTTTTGATCCAAATTTATTGAATCAATTTTTTTTGCCTAAGGAATTCTTTTTGATATTCTTTGAATCAACGGGCTTCATTTCCAATTTTGTGCTTGATGTACTTGTACTCTGAAAGTGCATGCAAAATACATGTACAATTTTTTGCAAAATAATGCATCATATAATTTTGAATTTCAGACTTATTGCATCAGATTTTATCCATAAACATATTCTACTCTACACTTTAAAATGAAATAGAAACAATGAATTTAATATAGTTTAAAGAGTTATAGTTGTTACATTTTCTACTTAATATTTAAGAATTCGCTTTTGTAAAGAAAACCACATACATGTATGTAATATTTAAGATTTAAATAAAAAAGGAATGACTATTCACACGAATTAACCAATTCCAAACAGTTTGTCAAAGTAACCAACATTTTGCATTTCCTCAAGGAAAAGAATATTCCCATCGCCATTTATATTTCAGTTTAAAGTAAAAGCGTTAATGCCTGTAAAAATGAAATGTTAAGAATGAAATTAATAGATACAATAGATCGTTTATGTCGTGTGGAAACCGTAAATACTACCGTCCATTCAAACAGAGATGTTATATTTCCGATCCTTGCACATCGTTTAGAACGACATTATTGTTTTCTCTGTGTTGCCTTTTTCTATTTGCATGGTTTCCAGTTTTCTTTTAAAACTATAACAGAACCCTTATAATATGTGGCTTGCTTTTTTAACTTTGCTTTTAACAGTTTCTATGATATGCAGGCTTTACAACCCTTAATTCCTTTCAAAATTCCATTTTATTTGGTTTTGCTCATTACTTACTGGTGAAACATATATCTCCTTTAATGGAATTGCACTTAAGCGACATATTTAAAGTTTGAAGATAACTGTCGAATGAATATATCTGCAGATATAAAACGATAAAAGATTTTGTTACCAGTCTATGATAAGCAATGAATTCCTACTTTCACTCACTAGTACCGTCAATAAACAGCTCAATCTAACTGAGCCTTCAATATATTCAATTGTGTCGCTTTGGAATTTCTGTTTACTATCTCCTGTTGTATCAAAAATAAATTATGTAACTGAAAAACGTACCCATAAGCCAGCTGTTCTTTCAAGCGTATCTTGTAAACGTTTACTCTGACTCTTGGCCGATAGATTGTCCTCCTTAATAGCACTATATAATTCATCAGCAAGGTGTTTTGCATCTTTCACATCTGCTAGGATTCTTTTACATTCCTCTGACTGATATCTTAAAACAAAATCGTTCTCTGAAAGCTAAAGAAAAAGAAATCTTAAATCAAAATGTTTTAAAAACATTGTAAAAGATAGACACATGTTCTTTGAAATAAAGAACTCCTAACATCAACTTAAGTCACTGTGAAATTTGTACATTTATTTGCTTAAGACATTATATCAGTCATAGTGAAATGTTTCGCTTACTTAAAACCGGTTTGGAGCTTTCATGGTTTTGATGCACAATTATTGACCACTAAGGCTGTGTATTGTTTCGTATAAAAACCACAGACTAATATTATTCCGACCTAAAAAAGCTATTTTTTTAAAATTTCCGCCGTTTTATATTTTTCTGTCCCATTTACACCCCCTAGTCGCTTATGAAATAAACAAAGAATAATGAAATTTTAAATATTAATAGCACAATTTTAAGCAAATTTTATCAAATTTTTTTAAAAAGATTTTTAAAATTACGTATACATGGATATTTAAATTGTGGAATAGCTGGTAGATAAACCTATAGTAATTTAAAAAAAATCATTTTTTAGTTGGCGGTTTAGTTACGTCATTACGCTGCTCAAAAAATTCGTAAGTTTTTTAACAATAACATTTTTAAAAGGAAAAAAAATCTGAATAAAATTCAAAACGTGCAGCCTTAGCGTATGTGAGATGTAATTTTATGATTATATAAGATGACGAACATGGAAGAAACGGATAATAGAAATAAAACTACTTAATTTATGTTGCCTTTGTTGATATATCATGACCTTAGTCAGACAGCGGGAACAGCCGAAGCAGTCGGAACACTTTTTTATCTTTTCGGATGTCATCTGTGAGTTGGATCTCTTGATTGGTGATTAAATGTTTAGTTGAGATACCCTTTTATTTTTACGACATTTTAAACTTAATCCGAAAATCAACTGCAATGGTCTTTTTATCTCATATCTTGAAATTTGCATAAGCCTTAGGCTTAAAATTGCAGGACTGGATATAATTTTATAAGGTAAAAATCCCTTTTCTGCTGGTACAAGTCCGTTTGAAATAGTCTGATATTTTGTCGACGTTTAAAAATCGAAATCTCACTCTTTTTATGAACATCTTTTTATATAATCTAAAAGACATCTCAAAGTATGTGGGCAAATATTATCAGTACAATTAATACCCTTGCTTATTTTATAATCATTTATACAATTAAATTGCATGTTCAAATTATCTTTTGTGCTAAATAATGTTGTCTGGTTTTCAATACCAAATGCATTCAATTGAAATTCCATAAAACAAATCTCGTACAGCAATATGAAGGTCAACAACCTTCTGACAACTAGTTTCATTATATAGCATTCATTTTGATAAAAGTCGAGTGGTGACCAAAGGGATGTTATTTAACAGATGCGGTTGGGGACATCCCACTGTCAGTATATTCTTAGTTAAATTATATAATGTATGAACAAGAAAAGTATAAATGTAAAGCCCAAAAACATTTGATCAAGTCTTTCACCTAAATACTTAACAAACGATGTGTACTTTATATCAGTACCAATACATGTGACCTGGAGGCTAGGACCCTGTTTAAGTTGAAACTTGAACCAAACAGAATAGACTCTGTCTTGCCAAGATGCAAAGACAATTTAAAGTCAATTAACCAATCACTAATAAGACTCATGCCATAAGAGATAATTTCTTCAGATTTATTTTACCAGATACAAGGATACATGAGTCATTAGCATATACATGTAATAAAAGCTTATTGCTTAGGGTTGCAGCCATGCCATTAACATATATCAGCCATAAAAGAGGACCTAAAATGAACCCGGTTACACATTATATCAGTAATAATGAACAGTTCTTATCCATAACATATTTCCCCACTAAATTGATTTGTGTCCTCGAATTTCTCGAATGTTAACAGAGCATAGTTATATGCAGTCACAGAATCAGAAAAACCTTTAGCTTGACTAGAACTCGAACCTGTGATCCACAGAATTATGTACCGCGACTGAAGCGATTGAGCCGCTTATACATTTTCTCCCCTAAATAGTGAACAGTTCTTAACCGTGACATATAATTAAAAATATTTTAATTAACAGGTAGATTAATTCTTAATTAAACAAGTAAGAAAAAGAAAAACTTACAAAACCATAGTCTTAATTAAAATAACAATGTATATATTGTATAATTATTGTTACAAAAAAGGGCTTAGACAGTTATTGGTTGTGCCATTGTTTATAACAGTTCAATTTAAAAGTGAACATAACTGTACTAATACATGTACAATATCTAAATTTTTTGGTACAGATAAAGAACTATTTTGTGATATTTACATGTTTTCATCTGGCGCCCTGTTACTTTTTGTACGTTGCCGGTTTTTAATGTGGCACAAATCACCCACTATAAAATTAAGTGCACAAATTTATTCAAGTGGAAGCAACAATTTACTCTATGAAAAGTCTGTAGTCAGGTTTACTCTGTTTTGAGACTTGGAGGTTGAGACGGGTGTCCCTCCATTACAAAAGGATAAGATAGGAGCTGTCCTTTTCAAAATATGCACATGTTAGACAAAAAATTTAAATAACATTTCAGAATATGATTTTTTGAGACTTTATAAATTATATTGCTTGATCCAAGTTTAAGGACATTTTCTACCCTGAAGAGATCAGTACTGACCTACTAGCACAGAGAGTGTGGAATATATATCTATATCGCCATGCAACGTCCGGTGGAATTGCACCATGGACCCAGCCATCATTAGTAATGGACACTAATTTAACCTCAATTCTGGATAGGTCATTATGTAACCCGCCAAATCTCACAAGTTCAGAAGATAAACCACAACATCCAGGCTAAGTCACCCTTAACAATATTCCTTTAACTCTATTATAGCAAATATTATTAGCCAGCTAACACTGGGTATAAACCTTTAACCTGTAGACTGATCAATACATGTATTATCATTTATAAATTTAAATGCACGTCTCATCCCTTTAATAAAAATGTCATAACTGTAAGTCTTTAAATACAGAAATATTTTAAGTCTCATCATATCCATATATACAAAGATATACATGTATTCACATCAGAGCTGCATTACTGGTACTGGTACTGCAGTACATACTGCAGCGATTTTGCAAGTACTGGTACTGATACTGAATTACTCTTACAAAATTTTGCTACTACTGGTACTGGTACTGCATTGCTGTCTTAAAAAGTGGTACTGCTACTGCATTACCCAGTACTTTTGATTTTGATAAAATTAAAAAAAGCATCAATTTTTCTCATAAAATAAAGCTGTAAATTACATTAACTATATTATCAAATCTAAAGATAATTTGCTGCAATATTCCTTCAAATGGTAACATAGTATTCATCATAAAAAGCACCAAAGACTTTTAAGTAAAAATTAAATTAAGATAAACAGATTCAATAACTCTTTACCCTAAAATATCCTTATTAAAATCTTTTATTACTTTGTATTTACTAGTAAAGTAGCAAAATAAACACTAATTATTTTCTTCTATTCTAAATAATCCCATTTCAAGTGAAGAAAATGATATTGTTAGCACCATAAAAAGTTATTATTTACTTTGGTATAAATTGAACAGAGGTGTGAAGGTGTGAAAGGCAACAAAAGACTGTTGTGTTTTAAATGAAAGATGTTTGCATTGTATTTACACAGTTGACTGGTTACTAAACAATTAGATATGACATGAATATATGTTGTAAATATTATTTGTAAAAAGTATGTTAAAACTATATAGTTGTAAATATGTTATGTTACCTTTAAAGTAAATTATGATTTTATTTCTTTGCTGAATAATATTTGCAATCATTTGTTTGACACTGTATTTATTCAAACTTTGATGAATATATAAAAGTAATGGTACTGATACTTAATTACTTCACCAAAAAAGTACTGGTACTGCAGTACCGAGCTAAAATCTAGTACTGGTACTGGTAATGGTACTGCATAATTTGCCAAGTACTGGTACTTGTACTTAAGTACTACACCCTTAGTACTGATGCAGCTCTGATTCACATAACATTTAACTTTTCAGTTTCTATTCAATAAATATCAAATCCTATTAATATTGGCACTTGGGTGGAAATCAAAATCTAGTAGCCAGAAAACTATAATGTATACAAAAGTAAACAAAATCATAAATTACAGTAACAAATACTGTCCCTCTTTTAACTTTCCCTTAGACTTTACTATATAACAGCTAACTGCATATATATCAAGCGTTTAAAATTTATAACTTCATGATCTTATCCTTTCTCTGTTTCAATATATAGACATGCATATATGAGCATCTATATGCATAGCTTTAATTTTATACCTGTAATTTTTACCAAAGGTTATTTTATTAAGAAAATCTAATGCATTTCCTTTTTTCTATAATGGTAATCAACTTGAGGTTGTTAATGAATACCAATACCTTGGGAATTTGTTAAGCTATAATGGCATTTTTTCAAAGTCTAAGTCCAAATCAGTTGAACAGGCAAGGAAAGCTATGTTCTTAGTTATTCTTAAATCACAAAAAATTGGATTATCAATATCTGCTCAACTGCATTTGTTTGATTCAATGATAGCTCCTATATTAATGTATGGGTGTGAAACGTGGGGGTATGAAAATATTGAAGTTTTAACTTAAATATTACAAACTTATACTGGATCTTAAACAATCTACACCGAACTGTATGATTTATGGTGAATTAGGGATAAAGCCTATTTCTATACAAATTCACTCAAGAGTGCTTTGCTACGGGTCAAAACATTTGTCATTTAGAGGTGACAAAATGTGTAAAATAGTCTACAATACTGCTGTAGCATTACATTCTCACAATAAATGTAAGTTTCCATGGATAAACTTTGTCAAGAACACTCTTGGTGATTTGGGACTTGCTGAGTATTTTATAAATCAGAATGTTAGTAATTTGATAAAGTTCAAGAATTTGTTAAAACCAAATATAATGATTTGTTTTTGAATGAATGGTACAACACAGTTGATGCATCTCCTAAATGTTTAGTTTATCGAATGTTTAAA